GGAGAGGGGTCTAAAAGGAGGGCGGGCACTGCTGTGCATCTTTGAGAAAGGCACTGCACATCTCTGATCCTCCACCTGCAGCTGCCATAGCCACTTGGCCCTCCTCCGAGGACAAGGGCGGCAGGTGCGGCCTCATTAGGGGAGCCACCACCTTGTGATTAATAGCCATGACAGCTGAGATTCAGCAACATGACCTTTCACCTTGCCTTCCTGGGGAGCAGGAGGAGAGGAGTCATCCGTGGAGAGTGGGGTGCGGGAGGGAGCTGTGTGGGGAGCCCCCCCATGGGCAGCCTGGACTCAGAAAGTTCCAAAGGAGCCCCCATCCTGTGGCCTGGGTGGCCCAGGTGTTTAAGTGATGCTGAGAGGGAATGCACTAGCTGGGGGTAGGGCAAGGAGGAAGGGGCAGGGCTGCTGCCTTGAGAGGTATCCCTGAAGTTAGGCACATCATGTCAGACCCATATCAGAGTCCCTGGGTTCAAGCCCCAGCCCTGCTTCCCACTCCAGCTGCCTGCTAAATGCACACTTTGGGAAGCAGCAGGTCCTCGCCGCCCTCGTGCGTGACCTGGATGGAGTCTGAGGCCTCTGGTTTTGGCTGGTCCAGCCCTGGCTCTTGTGGGCACTTGGAGGATGAACCAATGGCTGAGATCCATCGATCTCTCTCTGCCTTCCAGATAAAATGAAAAGACGTAAAATTTACAAAAGAAAAAAAAAAAAGCTTTCATCAGAGGTTGAGATCCTTGGCTGGCTGTAGGGTCCCAGCAGGCTCATCATCATGGGGGATGGGAAGCAACGAGAGCATCCGCTAGGTACAACTGCGAGGCTTGCACCCCTCAAAAGCAGTGTGGGGCTGGGGACTGCAGGCTGTGCCAGAACAGCAGGAGGGGACGGTGAAGCTGGGGGGGTGGTGCGCGGCGCAGAGTGACTGAGGGGCCTTGGCTTGGCGCGACCCCTGCTGCCAGCACACGGACCCACTCTGTTGAGCGCTGAGGGGTGACCTCCAGAGCCCCAGGCCAGGAGACACAAGAGCTGGGTTGCTCCTCCAGGGGCTCCAGACTTGAGTTCTTCGAAAAAGTCTTAATTTATTTGAGAGCCAGAGAGAGAAATCCTATCCATAACTTCATTCTCCCAAATGCCCACCACAGCCAGGCCTGAAAGGAGCCAGGAGAGCAGCCAGGGTCGCCCCAGCGGGGGGGGGGGGGGGGGGGGGCAGATACCCCATCACCTGAGCCACCACCATTGCCCTTCTGGGTCTGCATTAGCAGAAAGCTGGAGCCAGGAGCCTTGGATCCAGGAATGCCCTCCTGGTACCACATGGACTTGGGCTGGACATCACAGCCTGAGGCCACATGCCACTTAGCACCACGCCCCCAGACCCTGTTGCTAAGGGCGGTGCGGCTCTGAACTGAGTGGCTCTTCCTCCCACATGACCTCACTTCCTCGTGCCACCTCCCAGCTCCTGTTGCTCCTGGGAGCTGCAGCGCCAGCTCTGGTCTGGCTGGGCTCTGACTCAGACAGCAGTGACCTCCGGGTTGCCAGGAGGTGGCCGGGGTGGTTTTGCCCGGTGCCCTTGCTCTGACCTCTGCCTGGCCAGCCCACCCGCCCTGCCCTCCCCCACTGCACACAGCTGTCCCTGGTCCTTGGACAACTCAGAGAGCCAGGTTCCTTCAGAGAAGGTGGCAGCACCAAAGGGGGTTCCTGTCCTAGGAGGGGGCAGCCAGCTCAGACAGGGGCACCCCTGTCAAGCCCAGCCCCTCCTTATAGGAGACAGGCTCAGCTTTTTGGAGCCAGTGCTAGTAGCCTCGAGCCTCCTAGGTGCAAATGCTTCGCACCTGTCTTAGTGGGAAGGTTGGGTCACCCGGCCAGACCCCAGCACTCTCATTTCTGGCCCATCCCAGGGTTGCTGCACCCCAACAGGGACTGGCAGAACCACTCTCCCCTCCCCCATTTCCAGCCCAATACGAAAGGGCGCCAAGACACCCACTGGGTGCCAATTACTTGAAAAACATTTCACAGCAGAGCCAGCTAAGAACAGACAGAATTCCACTTTTTGCAAAAAAAAAAAAAAAAGGAACAGCACCCAGCGGGGGTCAAGCTGTCAGGCCCAGGGTCTCGGAGCCCAAAGGAGGCGGGGAACGGAGCGCGGCGAGCGGGCCCCTCCGCCGGGGCCCTGGGGACCGCAGGCTCCCAGAGGCGCGGCCCGGGCTCCGCGCCGCCCCCGCCGCCACAACCCGCCGGCCGCTCCGCCCCCGCTCCGCCCCCGGCCCGCCCCGCCCGGGACCGCAGACGGCGCCCGGCGGCGGCGCGAACGGCCGCGCGGACCGTGGTTCCGGGCTCGGGGCTCGCCCGCGCCCGCCCGCGCCTGCCCGCGCCTCCCCGCGCCAGGGCCCCGGCGGGGCTGGAGGATGCAGCCGCGACCCGGCGCAGCGACCGCGGCAAGGTGGGCGCCCCGCAGGTAGGAGCTCGCCCGGCTCGGCGCGCGCAGAAACTTGGGCCGAGTTTGCGGGCGGCGCGTGGGGAAGGGGCGGGAGGCGCTGCCCCAGGGCGCCCCTACCGGCCGGCGTGGCACGCCCGTGCGCCCCGGCCCGGGCCCGGCGGGTGGCGGGTGGCGGGCCCCGGGCCCCCGGCGGGCGGGCGCGCTGCGGGGCAGGGATCGGCCGCCGCTTCCACTTTGCCCAGAACTTCGAAGCTCCCGGGGCCTGCTGGCGCCCCGGGGCTCCGGCGTGGAGCTGGAGGGTGCCCGGGTGCCCGATGCCGGCGCGGGGCCGGGCGGAAGGCGCGCAGGCCGAGCCCTCGGCCTCCTGCTGGGCCCGCTCACGTGGATGGAGCGGCGAGGGGGCTGAGCCTTGGGGGGCTTTGCGGGCGCAGAGGCGCCGCGGGGAGCCCTGGACTCTCCCTGCAGGGACGGGACGGCCCTGCGGCTTCCTCGCCACCGCTTGACTCACCCTCTGGCCGCAGCCCAGGCTGGCGGGATCGCCCCAGGCGGTGGCTGCCCGGACTCTGCGGCCGGACCGCCGTCCTCCTCCCCAGCCCCCCCTTTAGCCTACCCCCCGTCCCGGCTCGGGCTCGGGGACCTCCCGGCGTGGCACGGGCGGGCGTCGGTGCGCGGGGCCTGCGGGCGAGCACACGTGTGCCCCCGGGGCCGAGCCGAGGGGACAGCGGCTTCTGCAGGCGCCGTGTGCTTGCAGATGGGGGCCGTCACGTCCCGTGCAGCCACGGGTTTGCATGCGTGGCGCCGGCGGCCTGTGTGTGTGTGTGTGTGTGTCAGCTTGCTGGGGTGCACGTGCGCCCCGGGGCCTCCGCGAGGGGCTTGGGGACACCCGGAAGCCCTCCGGCAATGCTGCGCGGGGTAGCCCCACGAGCGAAAGCCCGAGCTGTGGAGCTGTGGGTCACAGGCGAGAAGGGGGTTGGAGAGGTCGAGTCGCGCGCCCTTGCTGCCTCTGGCCCCCAGGGTCCACGTGGGAGCGCCCGCCGCTGCGCGGGAGTCTCGCGGTCTCCCTAGTCGTTCCCAACGTCCATCTTGAGCACCCCACCCCACCCCCCGGAGGTGGAAGTGGGCGCTGGGCCCCTGCTGCCCCAGGTTGTGGGCGGCGAGCGGACCCTCTCCGACCTCGTCGGCAGGCCGGGCCTGTCCGGGAAGGAGGCACCACCTGGATTTTGGGGGTTGTCTGGGACAGGGAGGGGCTTGGCCTGAAGGGGTGTGTATTGGGAGGAGATTAAGTCACCCTCCACACTGGGCTTCTTGCTGGCTCCCTGGAGCCCCCCTGTCACACACCTCCTTCGGAGACTCCTTGGAGGCCCAGGTGGCTGTGTCTGTCAGCTGGGTCCCAGGTGGGGGTCCCCGGAAATCTCCAGGGCAGAGGGCACGCCAGGGCTGAGCTCAGGAGAGGAGTACTCCTGGGGCTCTGGCAGGGGAGGGGAGAGCCAGCTCCTAATTGATGGGGGAGAGCATCAGGGGCTAGGGACCCCACCCCCAGGCCCCGGTGTAGGGGTGGACTGCAAGAGCCAGCAAGGAGGAGAAGGCCAGTCCTTGCCCAATGGTGACCACAACCTAAGGCACTTGGCCCGCGGCCCGGATCACCCCAAGATGGAGCTGATTCATCCTCTCTGAGCTGCGGGGTGCCCGCATGCTGTGGGAGACAGAGGCCAGACCGTGTGGCCCCTGCAGGTGGACCCCTGGGCATCCACTGGGTGATGAAGCCATGCCAGCCTTCCTCCTTCTCTGGCACTTGTTTTTGTTATGTTAGAACAAGCTTGATGCACTGGTTCACTCCCCGGGTACCTGCCACAGTCCAGTGGGCCAGGTGGAAGCCAGGAGGCGGGAGCTGCGGCCATCCCTTTGCTGCCTTGGCAGGGAGCTAGACTCGGGCAAATGAAGCTACGATGTGGGACATAGGTGACAATGGGCATCTTTGCCAGTTGGCCAGATGCCCACTCCCACCCCTGCACTGGCATCTTCCTTCACGTACCGTGGCTTACCTGCTAGGCCCGGCCTCCCTCCCTGGTGCCACACTCCCTCTCCAGCCTTGGAAAAGCCCCAGGGCTGAGGATGCCAGCGCTCTCTGACCCCCAACCCTCCGCTGTCCCACAGCACCCTCTGCTGGACAGCCTGGACCCTCCTACTAGGGGGTGGGGCCTAGGCCAAGCCCCTCCCCTGCAGGCGGGGCCTGTCATACAGAGCCAGGCCAAGCATCACCACCTTGGCTCTTGGCCTAGGGACCTGGCTGGGTTCGAGGCTTGGCACTGCCCTTTGTGTAATGAGACTGGCAGGTTGGGTTTGGGGAGGGTAAAGGTGTCACAGTAGCCTGTGTTCCTGATCTCCACCCCTTTTGTTGGCGGGGAGGGGAAGCCTAGCAAGGGATCGCCCAAGGCTGTGCCGAGTCTGGATCCCCAGGAGGGGGATCTGAGAAGCCCCATGAAGGAGTGTGGGGCTCAGGGAGGGGGCAGCATCAGCACCGTGGAGACCTGGTCCTCACCACTCTCCCTCTCTCTCCCAGGTCGGCAGTGGAGTAGCAGGGCCTCTGAGAGGCCCAACACCTCCGCAGCGATGGCCGAGAAGCGGCCCCTAGGGACCCTCGGGCCTGTGATGTATGGCAAGCTGCCGCGCCTGGAGGCAGACGCTGGAACTGGGCACAGCCTGCCGCCCTCTGCCGTTGGTAACCCAGATGCCTGCAGCTACAAGGGCACCTGCTTCTCCTGCCCGGTGGCTGGGCCCCCCAAGACGGGGTCTGAGCGGCTGTCATCCTGGACCTCGTACCCACCCCTGTACCCCAGCAGCGTGGCAGGACCCCCACTTCGGGCTGACAACCTGTTGACCAGCTGTCTGCTGTACCGCCCGCCAGCGGATGGCTCTGAGAAGATGCAGGAACCAGGCCCTGCGGAACTCCTACCCTTTGGGCCCCAGGCACCATCCTACCCGGGCCCACCGCTGGCTGCGCCCAAGCCCGTTTACCGTAACCCTCTGTGTTATGGGCTCCCCGCCTGCCTCGGGGATGGCACGGCCAAGAGGCCACTGGATGTCGACTGGACACTGGTGACCGGGCCCCTGCTGCCCACAGCTGACCCGCCCTGCCCACTAGTCCCTACTTCCAGCAAGGGTCAGCCCCTGGATGGCACTTTCTTGCGTGGGGTGCCAGCGGTGGGGGGCTCTGTCAAGGACACGTCGGTGGGCTTTTCCCCATGCCAGGCTTTCTTGGACAAGTATCGGACCGTGCCCAGCCCGGGCTTCCTGGCCCCCAAGTACACGGGGCCGTATTCTGAGGACCCCAAGCAAGCAATAGCTGAGGGGTCCTCTTCTAGCCCTTGGACCCAGCTGGCCCCACCCCTAGGACCCCCCTGCCAGGATGCGGCACCCGCCCACTATGCGCTGCCCCATGCACCTCAGACCCTGCCTTGCCCTCCAGCCTGTCGCCACCCGGAGAAGCCGGCCAGCTACAGCTCCATGCTCCCCGTGCCACCTCTGGGGGCCCACAAGGGGGCTGGGTACCAGTCTGGCGGGTTGGGCAGCCCCTACCTGAGGCAGCAGGCAGCCCAGACCCCTTACCTGCCTCCAGTAGGACTGGACACTTACTCCTATTCGTCCGCCCCTCTCACGGCTCCCTCCCCAGGCCTCAAGCTGGAGCCGCCCCTCGCCCCACGTTGCCCACTGGACTTTGCCCCCCAGACTTTGGGCTTCCCTTATGCCCGGGATGACCTGTCCCTCTATGGGGCATCCCCGGGGCTGGCTGGGACCCCGCCCTCCCAGAGCAGCGTGCAAGCTGTGCCACAGCCCAGCACCCTCCAGCGTCCATGCCAGCCCCTGCCAGCCAGCCAGCCGCCGTGCCCGGAGCCCCCAAGACCTGCTGAACAGTCCGAGGAGAAGACTTGGCTGCCCAGCTGTCGGAAAGAGCGGCACCCTGGGACACCCATTGGCATTCGGGACAGTCCGGCGCCCCGCACCTCACCAGCCCTCCCTCCCTGTGCCCGGGATCGCCCGGCAGCCCCGCCAAAGGAAGAAGGTTCTGGGCCCTCCAGCTCTCCGCCCATGCCCATCATCGACAATGTGTTCAGCCTGGCACCCTACCGGGAGTATCTAGATGTACAGACGCCCGAAGCCACCACCGAACCTGAGACCACCCCGGCCCCTAAAGACAACTGTGACAAAGACGGTGGTGGTGACAGTGGGACCCTACCTGCCCAGGAAGTGCCCCCGGAAACTAGTTCCGTGAGGGAGGAGGTGGCACTGGACTTGAGTGTGAAGAAATCTGCAGCAGAGGCCACCTCTCTGAGGGTCCCCAGCCCTGCTGTGCACAAGGAGCCCACAGCCTCCACAGATGGACCAAAGGTGGGGGATGCAGCGTCCAATGGCCCAGACTTGAAAAAGGCGGCCATAGAGACAGCCGGGACCACTGAGGACACACCAAGGACCAACTTCCACAGCTCCGTGGCCTTCATGTTCCACAAGTTCAAGATCCTCCGCCCAGCACCCCTGCCCGGAGCTGTGGTCCCGGTCCCGCCTCCACCTGCGCCCCCACCCCCACCCTCCTCTGTCCCTGCACCTGCTCCCTCGTCAGTGCCCATCGGACTGCAAATCCTCACCCAGCCCTTGCCCGTGGCCTGCTTCAACTTGACACTGCCCAGTCCACCCATAACTGTGGCTTCCCCGGCCTCTGCCAACATGCCTGCTCCAGCTCCAGGTTCCACCCCCGGCCCGGCTCCAGCTCTGGCTCCCACGGCTACTCCACCCTCCACAGACTCATTAGAGCCTCACTTCATGGGCTTGCACACGTCACTGTGTGACACCATCTCAGCCACAGTGGCCCACTCCCTGCCTGAGAAGCTGCAGGAGTGGCTGGCATGCGCAGGCCCCTGGGGCAAGGCGGCCTGGCGGGACTTCCAGGGCGTGCAGGGGCTGCTGGGCAAGGTGCAGGCCCAACTGCAGAGGTTCGAGCGCTCACAAAAGTGCCCCTTCCCGCACGTGGTGCGGGCCGGCGCCATCTTTGTGCCCATCCACCTGGTGAAGGAGCGGCTGTTCCCACGCCTGCCGCCGTCCTCCGTGGACCACGCTCTACAGGAGCACCGCGTGGAGTTGCGGCCCACCACGCTATCGGAGGAGCGCACACTGCGGGAGCGTGCCCTACATGGCTGCCCCTCGCGCCTGCTGAAACTGCTGGCGCTGCGCCAGCTGCCGGACATCTACCCAGACCTGCTGGGTTTGCAGTGGCGGGACTGTGTGCGCCGCCAGCTGGGTGAGCACGGGACTGCCCCAGCAGCTGCCGGAGCTGTGTGAGAGCCAGTGGGAGCAAACCCGTGCACCTGTAGGCTTGGCGTCCAAGTGGCACGTGCTCCCGTTCACAGCTCGTGGCTGGCGCCATTGCACCCTCTGGTGTCCACTTCCAGAGGTGGAAGTGTTTTGTGGCTTTTCCATATAAATGGTTTCTTGTAACTGGCTGTCCCTAACTGGCTTCCTTTATGTCCCGGAGCTCACACCATCACCAGCACAGGCATTGCCTGGTGGCATGGCCATTCCCTGGCCCTTGGTTAGTCGAGGTTCTAGGTCACTAGGAGGTGGGGGCCCACCTGCTCATCCCTGAGCCCCAAACACTTGTGCAGGTACCATGATACAGTGCCAAGAAGGTGCCTACACAGCCATCTTTTTTTTTTTTTTTCTCAGTTTGAAAAGCAGAGTTACAGAAGGAAGAGACAGACAGATCTTCCACCTGCTGGGTCATTTCCCAAATGCCTGCAACAGCTGGAGCTGAGCCAGTCGGGAGCTTCTGGGTCTACCGCACATGGATGTAGGGTCCCAACCTTTGGGCCATTCTCTACTGCTTTCCCAGGCCACAAGCAGAGAGCTGGATGGGAAGAGGAATAGTCAAAATTGGCACCCAGATGGGATACAAGTACTTGGAGGCAGAAGATTAGCCAGTTGAACCCCAGGCATCGGTTTCATGTGTGAGTGAGACAGCGTGCAGGTGGAGCCGACCCCTAGGTTCAAGTTGCTGCTTGTGTGTGCCAGACCTGGCCACCTCCTACAAGAGCCCAGGGTATGGAGCCTGCCTCCAACATGTATTTGAAAGGCTGTATTAAGAGTTTTTTGGGCCTGGTGCCGTGGACTAGCGGCTAAAGTCTTCACCTTGAACACACCAGGATCCCATATGGGTGCCAGTTCTAATCCCTGTGGCCCTGCTTCCCATCTAACTTTGTGCTTGTGGCTTAGGGAAGCAGTCGAGGACAGTCCAATGCCTTGGGACCCTGCCACCTGCATGGGAGGCCCAGAAGAGGCTCCTGGCTTTGACTCGGCACGGCTCCAGCCATTGCAGCCACTTGGGGAGTGAATCATCAGAAGGAAGAGCTTCCTCTCCGTGTATCTAATTTTTCAATAAAAATAAAGCTTTTTTAAAAAGAGCTTTTCATCTGCTGATTCACTCCCCAGATAGTCACAGCAGCTGAGACTGGGCGAGGCCCAAGCCAAGAGCCTGGAGCAGCTTCGGGGTCTCCATGTGGGTGCAGAGTTGCGTTCCCAGGTATAGCAGGAAACCACATCTGAAGTAGAGCAGTAAAGACCCAAACTAGTACCCTCCCTGAGCCTCCCCTGTCCATTCTGGCCACAGGAGGTCTGTGTGGGAAAGGGTGGAGATGGCCCCCTCCCTGCACGCTCCATCCCAACTTGGCGAAGAGCCGAGGCGCCACTCCCGGCGCTGCAGTCTGACCCGATGTGTTCGTTTTCCAGGCGACTTGGACACAGAGACTGAAGCCCCCGTGGCCAGAGTCGAGCCCGAGAGCCTGGCCCTGGCTCAGAAATCGGCAGCCCCCAAGGTCAGGAAGCCTGGGAGGAAGCTGCCGACTCCAGGCCCGGAGAGACCAGAAAGCGCTAGGAGAGGGGCCTGCAGCAGCTCCCCTCCCCCTTGCTCCAGCGCCAGCCCGCCCAGCCCCTCACTGAAGACACGCTTCCGCAGCCTGCTGGAGACTGCCTGGTTCAATGGGTTGGCATTGCCCACCTGGGGCCACAAGGCCTTGGCACCAGACCGTTCCTCGGCCCAGCCACGGCTGCTGGACGGCCAGAGCCCTCCTCTATAGCCTCCCTCTGCCCCAGGCTGGTCTGAGAGCTGCCTGAATGTTGACCTTGGTTGTTTCTGAAAAGGGACTACATCCCACGTGCACTTTGGATTCTGACAGCTCTGGACTTGCCCCATGTGGCTCCCATGTCCACGCTGTGTGACCTGACCCATCTCTCCACCTTTCTGGATCCCTCCTCTAAACCAGGACGACACGGCCTACCTCCCAGAATGGGGGGTTGGGGTGGGGCAGTGGGAGGGATGCCCAACCCATGGCCACTGTGGTACCAAGGAATGGAACCTTCCCACGGAGCAAGTGTGCCACAAGACTGGTCCCATGGGACTTTGCCACCACATGGTATAAACATCCCCTTAGCTGGAGTCCCTCCAGCCTAGCTCCCTGAGGGAGCCGCTCATCCCCACTGCTACTGCAGGGTCCCAGCCCAGGCCTGGCACCTTAATCCTGGACCTGTGCCCCTACCCCCTAGCCAGCCCCGAGCAGTAGCTGAGACAAGAGCTGTTTTCCTGGGAGCCGGCTGCAGGGACTTACTTAGCGGGGCAGGGGAGGTTGCTGGAAGGGTGTGTGATAGGTTGGGGTGCTGGACTCGATGCATTAAAGCTGTGGGTTTGGGCACCAGAGCCTGGCTGTGCATGGACTATGGATGGAGTGGGTGCCTCGCTGTGTCTGCCTCCCACCAAGAGGCTCCCATTGGACGCTGCCAAGGATCTCCAGCTCGGTGGCCACCAGACTCCCAGCTCAGGGAGCGACCCCTGATGGCTGCTAGTGGGTAATCCCAATGTGCAGATATTCTGTCCAGCTGACCCTGCCATTCCAGCCTGGCATCCTTGTGCCCAGGTGCCATCTGTCCAATAGGAGCTTGGTGATGCTGGTACATTGCCCACTGGCAGTAGCACAGGCTGCAGGGTGTGCTAGGATCTGAGGTCAAGGGTCATGTCTAGCAATGACTGCCTTGCTGGCACAACCGTGAGATGGCCAGGGCCCTCCCATACCAATAGGGAAGTTTCTGGTGTCTTCAAAGCTGCTAGGGTTCAGTTCTGGAGCTGCACCCCAGTGCCCAATCCCAACCTGGGACTGGCATCCTTGGATTGGTTCCACCCTCATCCTGGGCCCACCTTGGAGGTCCAATTTCAATATGGGAATTCTCGGGCGGAGCTCAGGCCCCAGCACTTGGCCTGCGATGGAGGATGGTCATTGTCGGAGGGTAGAGGGTGGCAGAAGCTTCTGGGAGGGCTGGCCAGTAGAGCCCAGAACCCCTGAAGTGCACCAGGCAGGTACGCAGGGATAAATAATCTAGGCACATGCCTAGAAGCATTCTGGGAAATAGGGGCAGGCTGAGCCCAAAGGCAGCATCTGTCACTCATCCTGGGGCCTGGGGACACCAAGTGTATGCCAGCAGCTTCCCCGGGGTGATGGGGCTTCCTTAGGCTGGCTTGACCAAACAGGAAAAGTGTCCTAAAGCCAGGGACTGATTTGGGTGTTCAGGAACCATACTTTATTTATTTGAAGAGCAGAGAGGGAGTGGCAGAGTTTCCATCTGCTGCTTAAATGGCTGCAACCTGCAGTGCTGGGCCAGGCAGGAGCCAGGAGCTCCATCCAGGTCGCCCACGTGTGGGTGCAGGGACCCATGCACTTGAACCACACTCTGTTGTCTGTCCTGGTGCGTTAGCAGACAGCTGGATCAGAAGTAGAGAGGCCTGAACTCCAATCAGTGCCCATATGGGATGCTGGTGGCGCCACACATGTAGCAACTTGTGATCCGCTGATGCACAGGTTCTGATTGGACCACAGTGCACGGGGGTTAGGGAGGGCTTTCTGTGAGTGAGTGTTTTCTGGGGAAGGCGGGCCTGGGGGGGACTACGTGCTGCTTTGTGGGTGCTTCAGCACGGCGGGAGGGCTCTGGGAGACCCCAGGCTGAAGGAAGGGTCCCCACTGCATCATGCCCAGATCCCAACAGTGCCCAGGGAACATCCACCCGAGGTCTTACCTGATTCAACGTCCCAGTGGTAGCTCAGGGGCAACAGCACTTCCTGCCCTGGCAGCCAAGCACCCCGGGGCACAGCCAGCTCTTCAGCATCTAGGGCAGGGAGGGTGAGCTCCCTCAGGGTCAGGCCAGCTGGAGGGTAGGAGTGAGGGCAAGGAGCCTAAACGGTCCCTCCAGGATGGACCCTTACCAAGACAAGGCTGAGTGTGGCCAGCAGCAGGCCTAGGGCGAGCAGAGCCACTGTGTAGCCAGGGATGGAGGTGCCAGGCAGAGCGGGAGTCTCAGTGCAGAGGGAACCTGTGGCAGAGCAGGCAGGCCCGGCCTGGGTATGGCCTCTTCCCCAACCCCAGAGGCTGGATACCAGGGACGGAGGGGAGGCCTTCCAGGAAGAGCAGGGCAGGGAGTGTGAGGGAGGAGGCAGGTGGACAGAGGACACAGAGGCACTGACCGGGGCCTGGGAGGACCACCTGCGCAGAGAGGTCTTTGGCCGCCTGCAGGGCGGGCAGGTTCCAGTGCGCCAGGGCCTGCACCAGTGCCTGGGATGGCGCTTCCCCAAAGAAGATGGCTCCTAGCTTGGCTGTCAAGGGGTCCAGCCTGGCAGGAGAGTCAACAATAGGCTTCAGGGGCTGGTTAGACGGGGCGGGGTGGGGGCTCGGTTAAGTCTCCCAGCATCCCGTCCCCACCCCTGGGGGCCCAGCACCACCACCAGGGACTCACGAGAGATCCTCTACCACCACCTGGTCAAAGTTCCGTAGGAGGCTGAGGACCGTGGTCAGCTGGGGGTGGAGCAGCGGAAGAAGAGGAAGAGGAGGGTCACAGCTCCACCCATGCCTTGTACAGCCGCCCGCCCCCCAGCCCCGCAGGCCTCCCGCCCCTCTCTCCCCTCCCGCACCCATCCATCCTGAAGCCTCACCCATCCCCTCAGCCGCTCCTGCAGTTTCTGGGACTCCGGGCTGGTTTTATCCGCCAAGGCCCAGGTAGAGGGTTGGGCCCAGATCCTCAGCCACACTTCACGCAGCACCCGCTCCGCCTTCTCCCCTGGAGAGAGGACCACGCGGTTGCACCCAGCCTGCCCCCCTCACCCCCACCCCGGGGGTTCACACTCCCAAGCTCCATGTTCTCGTTCAGCCCTCAGCCAACAGGGCTGCCGAGCTCACACAGCTGCCTCCCATTTCTGTGTGCTCCGTAAGCTCAGGGCACATCTTACATGTTTACAAAATGGAAAAACACAGCCAAAAAGAAATGTGTACTTCCTGTACACCTGGCTCGGGGGCACAGCGGAGCACTTCGAGGGCCAGACTCGGTGCACCACATCTTAGCACTTGCATAGGGATTAAATGAGTTCTTGAGTAACTAGAGACTGGAGTGGGCCATCTTGTCTCTCAGATCCCAGCTGCTCTTACCTACCCAACTCCCCACCCACGGCTGCCTTGTCCAGTTCTGTCTGTAAGCCTGTGCTTGTCGTTGAAGAGATTCCGCTCATTCACCACAGGTGGAATCCTGAGGTGAAGAGGTTAACGGCTCTGGGGGCATCCAAGTCAGAAAGGAGGGAGGGAAACTGTGTTTGCAATGATGATGCAATCTTACAGGAACCTGAAGACGCCAGCGAGAAACTGGGGCATAAATACCTTCAGTAGAGTTGCAGGACACAAAAATCCAGAATGGAGAAAAGACAGGCATTCCAAGAAAAGGTGCTGGGACAAGCACGCAGGAAAACAAAGCTGGGGGCCCAGCATGAGGGCGTAGCGGTTAAAGTCCTCGCCTTGAACGCACCGGGATCCCATATGGGCCCCGGTTCTAATCCCAGCAGCTCCACTTCCCATCCAGCTCCCTGCCTGTGGCCTGGGAAGGCAGTCAAGGTCGGCCCAGAGCCTTGGGACCCTGTACTCGCTTGGGAGAGGGGGCTCCCGGCTTCAGATCGGTTCAGCTCCAACTGTTGCGGTCACTTGGGGAGTGAATCATCGGAGGAAAGAAAACAACCGGCCAGCAGTGTTCACAGTAGCCAGGCTATGGGGTCCCAGGAGGAGTCTGTCCCAGGGTGACTGGGTTAGAAAAGTGACGCAGCAGCTGATGTTGTGGCAACTAAGGTTAATCTGTTTATTGCAGTGCCTGCATTCCCCATGGGTGCTGGCTGGAATCCTGGCTGTTCCACTTCTTACCCAGCGCTCTGCTCGCTGGCCTGGGAAGGCAGCAGCAGATGACCCAAAAGCTTGGGCTCCTGTCACACCAAGGGGACCCAGAAGAAGCTCCTGGCCTGTGGCTTCAGCTGGGCCCGGCCCTGACTGCTGTAGCCATTTAAGAGAGTGAACCAGCAGATGGAAGATTTATCTCTCTCTTTCTTTTTGTTTTCTCTTTCTGTCACTCTACCTTTCAAACAAATAAGACATTTTTCCAAATGTGGTGCATGGTTGGACCTGGCACGATAGCTTAGTGGCTAGATTCTAGCCTTGCATCTGCTCGCTGGGATCCCATATGGTCACCGGTTCATGTCCTGGCAGCTCTGCTTCCCATCCAGCTCCCTGCTTGTGGCCTGGGAAAGCAGCAGAGGATGTTCCCAAAGCCTTGGGACCCTGCACCCGTGTGGGAGACCCGGAAGAGGCTCCTGGCTCCTGGTTTCAGATCAGCTCAGCTCTGGCCATTGCGCTCACTTGGGGAGTGAATCATCAGATGGAAGATCTTCCTCTCTACCTCTCCTCCTCTCTGTATATGTGACTTTCTAATAAAAATAAAGTAAAATTTGGTGAAGATTTTTTTTTTAAAAAATTGTATTGGAAAGGCAGATATTCAGAGGGGCAGGACACAGAGCAGATATTCCTTCCAATGATTCACTCCCCAAGTGAGCGTAACGGCCGGTGCTGTGCCGATCTGAAGCCAGGAGCCAGGAACCTCCTCCCGGTCTCCCACATGGGAGTAGGGTCCCAAGGCTTTGGGCCGTCCTCGACTGCTTTCCCAGGTCACAAGCAGGGAGCTGGATGGGAAGTGGAGCTGCCGGGATTAGAACAGACACCTTTATGGGATCCTGGTGCGTTCAAGGTAAGGACTTTAACCGCTAGGCCACGGCGCTGGGCCCATAAAATAAATCTTTAAAAAAAAATGTGGTGCAGCATAGATTTTATCTAGCAGCGTAGACAGAGGAAGCTGAAGGACTATCGGAAGTGGACAGACACAGGAAGACTAATAATAGCATACTTCCCCTCCTGTGTGTGGCTAATGCAGTTGGCCACCAAGAAGCAGAGCATGGAAGAGGGGTCCCTGAGGCTGGAGGGGCCTGGAGCAGGGAACTGGCAGGGCCATTGGGGTCCACTGCTATGATGTACAGTGGGGAACTTGCGCATCAGAGACCCAGAGCATGGAGCAGACGGCCCTGCCCTGTCTCCTGCCTCTCGCCCATGACGTGCCACATCCCCGGCGGCACCCACCCCACTCACCATCAGCCACGATGCTGTGTTTCTGTAGAATGGGGGTCACGATGTTTTGGGCTAGGTAAGTGGCCAGACCCTGGCGCCGGGTGGGGAGGGTGCTCTTGAACTTGAACTCGAGGTGAACAGCCACACCCTGGCCCATGTCACTAGGGAGGCACAAGGGGAAAGGTCCCCCAGAAGCTAGCCCTCACCTCCAGAGCATCCCTGAGGCCAGATTCATCCCCACTGGTCATCCCCAAGCCTTCGTCTCCCAAAATGTGTCCTGGCTCTGGATCCAAGGGTGGAACGGAGCAGGCTGCTGCTGCTGGGCAGGAGGGACCGGCCTACCTGAAACGGAGCAGGGGTCCTTCCT